GTTTTCTAGAGGCATAGAGTGAGATGTAGGATTTGATTCAGTTGTACCAAGTGGAATGTTAATTTCGGGAGAAAGTGGGGAAGCCTCTGCTCTTGCTGACAGCATCTGAGGCTCATCGTACATGGCAATTTCCTCCATGTCCATACTATCATCCTCTGAACTTGAGGACATATCTTCATCCTCATCAGAGTCAAGTAATGAAGATGCATTGGAGGTTGACGATGCGCTCGTTATCGGAAGTTCTAGAGCTGGTTCGATCTCCGTGTCCATATCCTCGTCTCTATCATCAGATTCATGTTCATTTCCGTTACTGTCTTCATTTCCCATTGATATCACTCTTGCTAGCTCTTCCAGACCACCTAAACCACCTTGGAGTCTACCTTCAGCGTCATAGAGGTGCTGATACCTATGTTCATTCGGAAGAGAAAGGAATGATGTCGAATCAGCACTTGTGTAAATTACTCGGTTTATGGGTAGACCCTCGCGACAAGACAGACATACCGCAGAGGACGATTCAGCAACGCCATATTTGAACAATGCAATAGTTCCGCAAGAAGTTCTGTGATGCGGAAACGCTCGAATGTGAGAGCAGGAGCAGATATAGAACCAGCAACGGGCTACAGTGCATAAGAAGCACGACGGATAATCGACCACGGTGGACGTACCCCTTCTACCATCAACGAACGTGGTTTCCACAAATAGCCCACAAGGCGTTCCAACCTTCCATCATCACAAAGTATGTTCAGAACAAAGCCAAGATTGACCACCCCCATCCTGTCTACCATCTCTTTCATGGCACGCTCAAGAGTTTTACGACCGTCCGCGACATCTTCTGGACTTTCCCTAAGGAATGGTTATTGGTCACAAAATGACCGTCTTCGGTATTGATGACTCACCCCTGCTGTACCATGGCTTGCTGAACTCCGATTAGCCTATTCCTCAGGGTATGAAATAGGTACGGTTCGAGATAGTCGGAATTGTTTTTTCGTATGAGCTCTGTCAGGATACCCATAGCATGGATGGCCGACGAGGAGGCTGATTCGAAATGTGTTGCCGTGCCACTTTCAACGTCCCTGGAGAGTGGAGGTTCAGGTAAGGAAGGGCTGAAATCTTGTAATATATATGTAACCAGTTTGGATACGCTGTCTTCTCTTGCGAGCTCACGAGCGAATAAGTTGGAAGAGACACCCGAAACATTTTCAGTGCTGTTGTTATTTGATGCAACTGGGCCATTGGAGGTAAGCCCAGTACCAGGAGATGGCGTTGCCATTGAAATTATCCCTTTGATCAGGTCAGATACTACTTGGTGTATGTCGGGTGGATATGCGGGGGACAACATGTCTATCAGACGGGGTATGAGTTTTTCAGATGAAAGCCACTAGATACCGCTAAGTAAGCACGAACACATTTTGGTTTTGCTGTGGACGAACCTCAAGAACCCCTACCGCGCCGTCATAGCCATACGCATATTCATCTAGCTGGATGATTCTCACTAACAAATCAACGATTGAGGGGTTTTCGATGTGTCGTAATAGCCTGCCAACAATTTCTGGTTGGCTTTGTATGAACGCCAGCATCTCCCCAGGTTTTTTACCGAGGAAAACTGCATTGACTTTGGCAAAATGAGCTGCAGCATGCGAGTTATTGTTCTGAGCGCAGAATTTCAGCTCATCGGGTGCCTTGTCCAACACGTAGTTCCAAAACGGCACCAGCAATTTATCTGGGTGTGTGGACACACAGGTTTCGACGATGGACCAAATTTCTGAGCAGAGCACTTCGGCAGCGATGTATGGGTATCTAAGACGAATGATCAGACAGCAAAATCAAGATGTGAATCGCGACATACTTGGACCGGTTTGTCGTATTCGTCGTTCCCGTGCCTTGTTTTTCCTGTTGCTCCACGTCGTCGTCGAACTTGGCTGCCCCAACCTCCCCACTAACCCAACCCAGTAGTCGTCCTAGAACATCTACTCGTTGGAAGTAGTCAACGAGTCGGGTATTCTGTGATTTGCATTCTTGGAGAAGGTCATCTTCGTCTAAAAGTGCATCAAGGGTCAAGAGAGATTGGTCATCTTTATCGAGGAGGGAGTCGATGGAAGATGCAGAATGAAAGCCGAATCTAGCGATCCATTGTCAATTTGTGCATTCAATGAAGATGGGGACACAGACCGCCAGAACATACTGAGGGTCCAGGATAAGTAAAACAAGCCGCGGCGCTATTCAAAGCTTGAAGTACAAAGTGAGTGATAAGAGCGCATATCAATCTGCACGTGAAATGTGACAAATTGACGCCCGCCGTGATCGCTGAGCGCTGATGAGTGAACTAGCGCCGGACTCAGGGCCATGGCGCGATCACTTTGAATAACGCCAACTCTGGATCTGAGTACTGAGTCTTATGAGTGTCAGCCTTGAAGCTTGAAGCTTGAACAAGTATCAAGCTGGAGGCCGTAAAACCTGAACTGAATGTGAATACAGGCGCAGTGACACGTCACTACCAAGATACTGAGCTCATAATACAATGCCTCTCGATTCTCACAATTTACTAGTACTACCGTCTATTCGTCACACCATTGTCGCGACCTTCAAAGGCTGAGAAGTGCTTGGAAGATACCTGAAAATACAGGAAAATACATGCCGCGGCAGCCTGTCAGTGACAGTCATTGAAGCAACGATCGGATGTTAGACGCCAGACGTTCAACGCTGTAGTAAACTATAGTACTGGCTATCTGTATATTAGTAACATTGCAGCTACAAACTTTATTGAAACAAAGTCAGATTCGATGGCGTCGACATTCGATTTTCCATTTCTTTTGAGTACTACTAATTACATTATAATGAGTCCTTGCCAATCCAAAAATTTACAGAAGGGACAAACAGTCCATATGGATCCTGAGTTTGAGAAACGATGAATGAAAGAACATAATCATAAAACGTAGCCTGAGAGTGCATGTAACTCCAGTTTGAATCAATCAATCCTCCTTCCGCGGGGGACCACTGTGCATTGAACACTCATTTACAGAATGTGACAAATTAAGGTAACTTTTCTACATGCATGAGAAATTGCTTAGTGATTCACGAATCTCTAGCAATCGCACAGTGCGATATTATAGTTGGTCCCAATGCTCTTGTATTTGGGTTGTCCTGGGTAGTGCAGTGTTTGTCGAGATGAGAGTTGGAACCTGTAATTCAAGAAAGATTCCACCGCTCCTTCGAAAACCAGATTTTAGGGCAAAAATTTCAGGGGAGCACTGTCTGGAAATCAAGGTTATAATATATCAATGCTTTCCCAAAGATAGATAATCCCTTCGCCCGGACAGGCTGTCCCAAATCTAGTCGACATAACAATCGAGTCCATGGATAGCACGCGAAGATAAGACGAAGCGAATATGACAATACGCAAGATTGCGCTTCGTTCACAGACAGTCGTGAAAAATAGCTCGGCAGAGTTGGTAGTCCCATAGAAATGAAGGTGGGTGAGCCGGGAACGAGGATTTGGGGTCTGGGAAAGCGGAACGAGTGTGCGATGATGAGACCGAGGACATTCGAATGATCGAGGTAGCATGCGAACACAATGAACGGGATGATTGATGAGGAGGCTGATGTGTGACTCGACTACTCAAGGAGTAGGTCGGGTATTGAGCTGGCTAACTTTCACCAATCGGCTGCACTTCCTTCGCTTGTCCCGGAACGTCTCCAGTCTGCTGCGCTCCCTTCGTTGGTGCCAGAACGCCGCCAGTCCGCTGCACTCCCCTCGTTAGTGCCAGATCGCTTCCAGTCTGCTGCGCTTCCTTCATTGGTTCCAGAGCGTCGCAAGACCACTACACTACCCTCGTTTGTCACAGAGCTCCGCCTCCAGTCAGCAGCACTCCCCTCATTGGTACCAGACCTACTTTTGACAATACCTCCAAAAAGCTGGATAGGAAAATATCATCAGCGACAAGGAAAGCAGAAATATCCTACAAAAACGGAGGCTACCTGTGCTGGAGCTGCTTTGGAATATTCAATCGCTACGGACACTAGCACAAGTGTCATAATAGCTATGATAGAGTTGGTTCGCATAGTAGGATGAGCTCCTTGAAAAGGGTGAAAACGACGAACTCCCACCAGTTACATACGATATTTATCCTGTTTCACAAAAGGAAAAAAGGGACAGTACCTGAGAAGGTCCGTATAAATACATCGATACATCCTATCGGGTGGATACGCTTTCACAGGAGTTGTCGCAATACTTCACCTTACTCAATGTGATCAGCATCCATTAAGCGGCAACCTGTTGCAGGTAACTGGTATTTGTAGACGATTGACTAGGAGCCTGTATCTTGTCATGATCATATTTTGTGGATCGAAAAGTCGACGGTGAAGCTCAATACCGAGGGAACCATAGTAAACGGGTGCCGCCGGACCACTTGCAGTTTCTGGGATATTGACAAACGTAGTTTATGATGAGCCGAATTCTATGAATGGATGTGATTTGAATGTTTGACAATGAATGAAACGAGAGAACTAAGTACAGTCCAACTTACTCAATTTGCAAATGGGGTTGATGTTACTACTTCTGCTCCCTTGACTCAAGGTTGAATCTCCATTTTTCCAAGGTTCTTCCTAGTAGATAGTGCATTACTGAGTGTTGGTTTTGGGTTTATGCTCTATTGTGGAGCCAAGCAGATCAGCGTAAAATCATCGAAAGGTCTTGAGCGATGAGGGCCATTGAAATTGATGATAGCCAACGAGGAATCGTCTCCGTGCCAGTTGTCAGCAAATTGTATAGAGCGTCAGGCAGATAATCAGCACTGTTTGAAGATCAGATAGGAACGGATGATGAGCAAGTTGAGCAATGGAAGGAGTTGAGCCAGTAAGCGCCAGTGACTTCTTACTTATGTAACAAGCACGAGCTGCATACACATCCGAACCACTCAAGTACGCCGTACTAGTCATGGGCCATACTACGGCTTTGCCGCGAGGGTATCTGAGAATCGCATTGACAGAATGGCTAAAAATTATGGCCAACGTGGGGATCGAACCCAAGACCTTCGCGTAATCTCACGACATAGTCCCGCAAATTATTAGCACGACGCTCTAACCAACTGAGCTAGTCGGCCAATTATCCTTGTCCGAATTCAATAGACATAGCCAGCGACCAAAACAGAACAGGAACCACTCACGTCGAGTGTTAGAGCTGTAGCTGTACTACAGCCTTAAACTTAACGATCAATGAACTACTGTCACTCCTTTTGAGATTCCGACGCTTTTTTAGCCAGCTCGTACGACTCGAAACCGAGAGATTTCTGGACGACATCTTCCGGTGCATCAGGCTCCAATTGTCCTTGTTGGTTTCTTCGAGCTCTAGATAAAGAAAATCATCAGTCATTGTACCTTTCTGACGCTAAGGCATGTAGGAAATTCACTTGAAGAACGTATAACTCAGCACAACATCCTCGACATTCCTACAGCTAGGATCTTCTAGCACGTCTTTGTCGATGAAAAACAGTAGAGGCATGTCGACAGTCTCTGAGCTGAGTAACTTTTGTTCGTCAAAACAGAAGCATTCAATCTTCGAAAAGTAGGGCGCAATCTTTGAAGCAAGATTTCATTAACACGGAGAGCACATTTCGGATGACAATGCGCATTAAAACGTACGTACACGATCTGGAGTGACATTGTATGTTGCAACACCTATAATATCATCCTTACTATTATTCTTCGCCGTGTAGAAGGCAAGAGAGCTTTCGCCTGCCGATTACTTTAGTAACTTGAATGTATATCACCTCGGAACGTACCGGGAAGGACATAGACATGGTGCTGGGCAGGCTTGAATGTCCATGGAAGCGCCGTGGAAGTACTGGACGTGAAGGTAACTTTAAATCGCCTTGATTTTGGGTCGTCCGCAGGGTCTATAGCGATGAGCCTCGACGGAGCAAAACGATCTTCGACTGCCGTAGAAGGAGAGAGTAGAGTTTTCAACCATTCCGGCATCCATTCGGGAAATTCGGGTCCAGAAGTGGCCTGGGTCCGCGTGCTTGGAGTGCCAGCAAAACCTGTCGCGGAGCAGAAAAGACGATAGAGGGGAACAGCAGCGTAAGTAAGTCCCAGGAAAGTTATAATCTGAAGATAGACAGTTTGAGATGTAGATACATTACGACTGTAGGAGCAGGAAGCATACCACAGCCCCAGTGTACATCAATAAGGACCTATTTTTGCGGGCACGTACTGCGTACATTTCTTCTCTGGACCGATAGCGCGGCGTAGGTCCTACTTGGATAGGCCTGCGGAGAGAAGGAGATTGAGTAGACGGTGAAGCTTGACTTGGACCAACGTCAGACGCCATCATACGTATCCATGGTCGAAACGACGATCTAAGAGGCGGTGAGTGCAGCTAGACAGATCTTTGAGAAACAATCGTAACCTAGTACATAGGACTCACAATTGCTTGCTTGCCTGCGAAGGTAATTTCGCTGTACAATGCCCTTCCGCAGAGCGCATAAGGAGGTAATGCAAGTTGAGGACGTCTGAGCGGAAGCAGGATGTGAACTAGTCGTGCATTCGCCATGCTCATGACAATCCAAGTTGAAGAGAGGAGAAAGTTACGGACCGCAATCCCGCATTCTAGTTTTGTTGCCGACATTCACATCCAGTCTTTCTCTTCTTATCGCTTGCTTGCTGTCGTCTTCAAATTGTACATAACGACCATAATGTCAGCGTCAACGTCGTCGAGTAACAACGCGGCAGGCCCGTCTTCAACAATTACACCGTCGCATCCAGCAGTAGATGCAGAGCTAGAGAAACTACTCTCAAGAGAGGCATCGGCTTTCCAGAGGGAAGTTGAAGTAGAGAGGATCTTGAAGGCTTTCAAACTCAAGTGGGTGCTGCTTGCCTATAGTATGCTGCTGTCTATGGATCACCATCATGTAGCCCGTATGACATACTAGATCTGGACGAGACCGCAACTCAAGAAGACATCAAGAAGAAGTACAGGCAATTATCTCTGTGTTAGTCTTACTGTCAGCTTTTAAAGTCTCGATCCTGTTTATTTGTTATTCTCCTTAGTTATTCATCCGGATAAGACCCCTCACCTCCGTGCGCCTGATGCTTTCGACATTCTAAAGAAAGCGGAATCGGAGCTTTCTGAAAAGGCCAAGCGGGACGAACTGGATGCTTTAATAGCTCAAGCCCGAACTCTACTCGTTCGTGAGATGGGCTGGTCGGGAATTAATCCCAAGGCTATCAAGGACCTTGAATCCAGTGACGAAGTAACAGCACTAGGTGGAGTCAAAGTTTGGAGAGAAAGAGTGAGAGCGAAAACCAAGGAACTCTTAATTGATGAAGAACTACGACGGAGGAAGTGAGTACTTAGGCTCTAGAGTCTACATTTTCGTTACTCCAATCCGTTGTTCTGACTGCTGTTATTCGTTCTCTTCTAGAGCGCTTCAGCTTGCACTCGCTAATGAAGGCTTAGAAGCACGGAAGAAGGACGAAGAAGTAGCCAGCAGGAAGAGAAAAGCTGATGAGGACAAAGCTTGGGAAGGTATCGCCTTCATTGAATCTCTTTGTCTGTTGTCACTGCTAATATCCATCCTGCCTAGCAAATCGAGAACAACGTGTAGATTCCTGGCGCTCCTTTGCAAACACCAGCAAGAAGAAGAAGAAGAACAAATCCGCTGGCCTACTAGGGTAACTGTTACACGCTGCAGGAGCTAACAGTCAAACAGTTTTATAATATTATATTATACTAAGTACAAATTTTGAGCTTCCGGAACTTGTGTGTAGTCCTGTAGGCTGTTTCAGTCTACTAAGTTATGCAAATGAAATCTATATTCAACCTTTTCGAAGCCTGCGTTATATACACATGTACTGCGTGCTGGCCATCGAGTTTGAGGACTTTGAGTGATTTGCAGCACACGTTGCGGATGTATTGGAAGCAGGAGAACATACAGAATTGTACACAGGTGGCAAAAGGCAATAAGCTGAAGAACAAAGGAGAGTAGGTAGCACAAGGTAGCACAGAGAAACAAACGACCAGTCGAGATTTCTATATACAAAAGGTATGCAGCAAGATGGCAAGATGTTATATACAAAATGAGGAGGCAAAGGGCGATATAAAGATATGCACGATACGTCCAACATGAAGATCCCAATGTATCAACGTCCAAGAGTCGCAATTTTGGCAGAGGACGTCGAGTGGATCATGATACATAAGGGCAGAGAAGAAAAAAACCTTTGCAAAAGAGATATAGCAGCCAAATCTCCTCCCAGTGTACATCACTGGTTCCAAGGAAAAATTGTAGATGCAAATGGAGGTAGAGACCTTTCGGCATCAGCGAAAATGGTGTAGTAAGTGAAAAGGAACGTATATGTGCATTTCCTGCATAGGAAGAAGAGATTCAAGGAACGTCGAGGGTAGCAAGAAGCAAGACTGAGAGATTCAAGGAGAGTAGTGTTAACAGAGTAAGCAGAAACGCAAGAGGGTGGTCGGTACGTAGGTACAAGGGAAAGGCAGATGCAGTGAATGAGGGGACACAACGAGAAGACTGGTGGTACAAAACAGGGAACGGAAAGCTGCGCACAGCGATGCAACGGCAGCAATTGATAGCTTTGCAGGGCAAAAAAAGACGAGAGATGGATTTAGATATAAACACCGGAGATGAATGAAACGAGGGTGGGAAGATAGTGGATGCTGAGACTGGTGGCACATTATTCCAACAACAAAGATGAACATTGAAAGAGAATGAGTTAAAAAATTCCGAGCCAAGCGGCGCAGTGCGCAGATTTTGGCGCATTCGATAGTATGCGTTACCGCAAGGTACCCACGGGTGGCTTCACAGATGGGCTGACGATGCGATACAATCAAGATAATTGGAAAGCACTTCCTAACTTGGAATGCTGCCCTCTTGCTTCTTCTTCGACATCGGTGTCATTTCCATCTGGAGCAACCAAACTTCCAAAGGAGATTCTTCTTGAAGGCGCAAGTCGTTTGACACGACGCAACGTCTTACGAGGTGGGCTGGTAGCTTGGCTAGGTGTACCAAGTGCGATGGTGGAATAGTTGGAAGTTGGAAGATTAGGTCGAGCAGGTGCCGCTGGAATATGTAAATGTGGTAATTCTTCCCCTAAAATACTTGGGTTTCGTTGTATATTCATCCGTGGGGGCGGAACAACCAAGGATTGAGCAGAGATCGGAGAAGACGTCAACGATTCCGAAGTAACTTTTGAAGAGGTAGATTTGGTCGGCGTATTCTTTGTTTTCGTGCGCTTCTTTATCTTTGTTTGATCTGAACCGGGGGGTCCATACCAGGGGAAGCAAGGCCTTTGCTCGGTTTCCCTCCGTGTCCCTTGGCTTTCTTGACCAGACGATCACGAAGCTTCTCTTCTTCATCACTGGAGGGACATGGGCTAACGCTCATCTCCTCTCTAGCTTTGGAACTATATATATTCCCGTAGGGATTATTCGCACGTTTTCCTTTCTCCCTTTCTCGGGCTTCCTGTGCAAGTGCACCGTAAGACGGAGCACGTTTAAAAGTCTGGCGAGTAGGGGAAGGGGTCCTTGCAGATACAGCAACGGTTTCATCATCCTTCGATGCAGTGTACGGCGGGTTACAGAAAGACTCTGCACGTCGAACACGTTGAACTCTAGGATCAACCGGACCAGGCAGAGCAGACGGCAAGAGCAGTGGCTCAATTTGACCGTCAGACAGGCTGCTTCGATTCCCGTCGATCATTGAACTATCTGAATTGCTGAAAGTCGAAGCAGATCGACGAATGAGGTTGGGACGAGCAGCGGAGGTTGAGAGAGAGGAGAGCGAGCTAAGGGTGGAGGAACTGGGTGTAGAGGGGCTGATAAGAGAAGGGACGTGTGCGGACCGAGGAGGCGACGAAGATCGATGATCCACTTGGTCGAGACGAGCTTGAGCTTGAGCGCGAGCGCGAGATCTTGTGTATGGGTGATAGTTCGAGTTTGGGACAAGATTGTCTGTGCGTTGTAAACGAGTGGACAACCTATTTATTCAAGGGATGCATAAGCGAACACAAAGGAATTGTTGTATAAAGGCAGATAATGGACAAACCGGGTGATATTATCCCCAATCTTACGTTCGCCAGAGTTGAG